AGAGGAGAGAAGGGGATATGGAGAAAGGCTGACAAAACCAAGACTATATGGAAACCTATTTTATAAGCCAACTAAAAATACAATTTTTTGAAAAGAGTTTGAATGGAGGAATCCTGCATGAGTGGATAATGTTCTTCCTAGAGGCCATGGGTTATTAAATGGAAACTCCAGTGACAAGTGTGGGATTCCTCCCTAGGAGTCATTGGTGAGGGAGGCCCCAGAGGCCCCCAAACAATCCAGGCTATTGCCTTTGTTCTTGGCTGCTCACTAGAAGTAGATGGTAAGATCTTATTGCTGAAGTCATCATGCACTTTGGTTGCAGGACATAGAGAAGTCAAGCTGGCACAGAGCTGTAAACTTCCTCTCCTGCTGGCTTGCTTTCATGGTGCCAGAAGGTGCTATGCAGACTGCTCGAGGAGAAAAGCCATCAAAAGTCTTACCCAGCTGTGAACCCTGCGAGATACAATAATGATCTGCCAGGCAAGATGTGCACAGTGGTGCAACAGTGGCATGACTGTTCTGAGGGTAACCACTGCTTGATTGGATTTGAGGCCCTCTCCACAGGAGGGAACTCTTGCCTTGTTCTATAAACCTGGTCCAAAGCCCATTGCTGCAAATGGAGGCCATAGGCCCTGGGGGAAAGCTTCTACTGTTGTTTTGCTAAATGGACATGGTGTTCAAACTGCCTTCTGAGTTCTTAATTTGTACCCATAGATCTGGGCTGTTCTCAGCCTTGGTCAGAGAAGCTTCTTTTTGCAGAGGGTGGTGGTTAAACCAGAGACTCATAACTGGTCTAAGTGCTGAAAATAAGTGATTGTTGAGTGCTTGGTCCTAAATGAGACATCTATATCACCCCCTCCAAGCCTCAGGGAACATTGCTGAAGAGGAGGCAGAGGGTGGGGAGGAGTTTGTGAAATGCTGTCTTCTGGACATGATGTGGTTGTTAGCAGGTAACTCACAGCAGCATTTCATCCTGAATAGGAGAGGGTTCATGAAGCCCCAGCCCTTCCAGAAGAACTCTTGGCAATTAATGGTTGCTGAGGTTAGGGCATCATTTTCTCTAGTGGTGTAGCCACAGGGAATTTTCCCACAGTCCAGTAAACAACCCACCACCCATGCACATGCAAGCAACTCTAATTAAACCCAATGGGTCATTTAAAAAAACCCCATATAAGTAGGAGGGGGACTTTTTGGGAAGAAGGGTTTCAGTGGAACTTGGGGGGAGGGGACTAGAGAGGGGAATGTGGGCCAAAACAACCAAATTCATTATATACATTATGAAGTTGTCAAAGAATAATAATTTTTAAAAAGGGTAGGCGAATAATAATAATTTTTAAAGGGCCTTTCATTTCTTTTTAATTTTTTTTAAAAATTTAGATTATATTTTACTTGTTTATTTTGTCAGGGGAAGCAGGGAGTCAGAGGGTATGCATGCTCCATGGAGTGCTTGTAAGGTCAGAGGATACCTCATAGGAGTCATCAGTTCTGTCTTTTTACTCCATGGGTCCCTGGGATCAAACTCAGGTCATCAGGCTCATGGGCAAGCACCTTACCAGGCTGGCCTTGAACTCATAGAGATCCACCTGCCTCTGCCTCCTGAGTGCTGGGATTAAAGGTGTGCACCACCATGCCTGGTCTACATGGTGAGTTCCAGGACAGCTAGGGCTACAGGGAGACCCTGTCTCAAAAAGGCAAAAAAAAAAAAAAAAAGATAGGTGAGATGGTTCAGTGGGTAAGGTGCTTGCCCAGGAGCCTGATGACCTGAGTTTGATCCCAGGGACCCATAGGGTAAAAAGACAGAACCGATGACTCCTATGAGGTGTCCTCTGACTTTACAAGCACTCCATAGAATATGCATACCCTCTGACTCCCTGCTTCCCCTGACAAAATAAACAAGTAAAATATAATCTAAATTAAAAAAAATTTTTTTAAAAAGAAATGATAGGCCCTTTAAGAGGTGGGGCCTAGTGGGGAACAAATCATTCATGCTGTGCCAGCAGAAGATATGGTCCTTGGGGACCTTGCTGGATCTCCTAAAAGGGATGCTATGAAAGATTGTGGGGCTGGAGAGATGGCGCAGCAGTTAAGAGCACTGGCTGCTCTTGCAGAGGACCTGGTTCATTTTCCAGCACCCACATGATGTGTAACAACCATCCATAACTCCAGTTCCAGGGGATCCGACGCCCTCTTCTGGCCTCTGTGGGCATCACATGACATGAGTACAAAGCCTGCAGAGGCCAGAGAAGGTTGTTGAATCCCCTGGAACTGGAGTTATGGACAGTTGTTAGCTACCTGTGGGTGTGGGACTAGAACCTGGGTTCTCTGGCACAGCAGACAGTGCTCTTAACCCCTGAGCCATCTCTCCAGCCCCTAAGCTATTTTATTACATACCCAGTCCAGAGATGACAGTGCCCACAGTGGGCTGGGCCCTACCACATCACTACCAATTAAGACAATGCCTCATAGACATGCCTACAGGTCAGTGTGAGTGCAGCAGTTCTTCAGTTGACGTTCCTTCTTTCCAAGTGACTCTAGTTTGTGTCAAGTTGACAAAAACCAATCAGCACAGCATGTTCATGTGTATGTGCAGGTGCACGTGCAGGCCAGGTATAGTGTCTACCTGCTTGCCTGTCATTTTTCTGAGGCTAGGCTGAGTGCATAATCCCAGGGATCTGCTTTTCTCTACCTCCCCAAGCACATGCCACCACATCCAGCTGCTTTTTCTAACATGGATTCTGGGTTCTAGCAGTCAACATGATTTAGGACATGTCACTCCAGAAGGGTGAGAGAATAAATGTTTGCTGATAAAGTCACCCAGATTGTGGCAGTTTGTTGCAGCAGCCACAGAACAACAACAACAAAAACCAAAACAAACAAGCGAAAAAAAGAGAAATGACAGTTGGCAGAGTGTTTGCCTAGCATGCAGGAAGCCATGGTCCAATCTCAGCCCTGCATAACCAGGCATAGTAGGGCATGCCAGTATTCCCAGCACTTGGGAGGTGGAGACAGGAGTATCAGAAGTCTAATGCTATCCTTGGCTACATAGCAAGTCTGAGGCTAGAATGACCAGTATGAGACTCTGTCTCAAAGGACAATGTGGAAGGAGATAGGGAAATTCAACCTTGGAGGTTGGCTTTAAAAATCACTACATCTGGCTGGGTATGGTGATGAACGCCTTTAATTCCAGTTCTCAGGAGGCAGAGGCAGGCAGTTCTCTAAGTTTGAGGCTAGCCTGGTCTACATAGCGAGTTCCAGACCAGCCAGAGCTACATAGTGAGACCCTCTCTCAAAAACCAAGCAAAACAAAATATTACATCCAGGGGTTGAAGAGATGAGTCAGTGGTTAAGAGCACTGACTGCTCTTGCAGAGGACCTGGGTTCAGTTCTCAGCACCCACATGGCAGTTCACAGTTACCTGTAACTACAGTTCCAGGAGATCTGACTCCTTCTTCTGGCCTCCTGGGGCACCAGGTATGCATATAGTGCGCCCACACGCATGCGCGCGTGCGCACACACACACACACACACACACACACACACGCAGACAAACACTTATAGACATAAAAGAAAAGATGAATAAATCTAAAAAAATGGTTACATCTAAGCTGTATACAGTGGTCCCTTCCTGTAATGTCACCAGTGGGGACACTACAGCAGGAGGGATTGTGAGTTCAAGGCCAGTTTGGGCTACAGAGTGAGTTTGAGGTCAATATGGCTAAATAATATAAATATAAATAATTGGCTACATCTGTATGCAGTAGTGTCCTGTATATCAAGGAGGTTGCTGTTTTGTGTTAAAGAAGTATAATCACAACCAACGTGATGGCAAATATTGATAAGTGAGGAGTGGGGCAGGAGACACACTCAGAGCCTAATCCTAGTTTGCTATGTAGATAGGCTGGACTCAAACTCACAGAGATCCACTTGTCTCTTCCTCCTGAGTACTGGGATTAAAGATACGCACCACTACACCCAGCTCTTATCCTAGTTTTTACCCTACTATGTGTATGCTAATATTTGGGACATTCTCCCAGTAGAATGACCTCTGTTTCCTGAGTGCAGAATTGGCTGCTAGTAATTTCTTCCTTCCTTCTCCCTCCCTCCTTCCTTCTCCCTCACCTGTTCGCCGCCATGTTCCCTCCCTTTCTCCTCTCTATCTTTCTTTATCTTCCTTCCTTTCTCTATTTCTTTCTCTCTTTCTTTTCTTTTTCTGTATTATAGAAGTTAACAGAAGGTACCGTAATACTTAGGAAAGCTATAAAGAAAATTTTGTATGAAAGAGAGAGGAGAGCGAACTTGTTCTGTAACCTCACCTCCTCCTCCTGTACCTGGGGTTCTGATTTGAGAATTTTCTCAGGTTCTTCCCTGGCCTCAGAGTATTCCAGGGTAACCAGAAGGTCACGTTGTTCATCAACCAGCTTATGGACAGAAGGACCTTCGACTCCTGTAACTTTGGCCAAACAACACAAAAATGCTTCCACAGGTCTGGGGCCTCTTATTACAGAGACTGTAAGCTTGAGCCCAGGGCTACAGGGAGATAGGGTCTCAGAGATAGACAGCAAGTAGAGAGGAAGAAAGAAGGGAAGGAAGGAAGGCCTGTAATTTGTCTGTTTCTAGTTTGGGACTAAGAAGTATTCTTTTGTTTTGTTTTGGTGAGACAGGGTCTCCCTGTAGCCCCAGTTGGCCCTGGAACTCACTTGTAGACCAGACTGGCCTCAATCTCATAGAGATCCACCTGCCTCTACCTCCCAAGTGCTGGAATCAAAGACATGCACCACCAAGTCCAGCTTGAAAAAATATTCTTTTTAGGAAAAAAAAATTTATTTATTATTTTTTATTTTATGTGTATGAGTGTATTGACTGCATGTATGTGAGTGCACCTGTGTCATGCAATGCTGCGGTGCTCAGAAGAGGGCTTCGGATTTCCCTGGAACTGGAGTTAAGGACAGTTCATAGCCGCCATGTGGGTGCTGGGAATCGAGCCTGGGTTCTCTGTAAGAGCAGTCAGTGCTCTTAACCGCTGAGCCATCTTTCCAGTCCTGAAAATATATTCTTATATGAGCCTTTTGACTGAGTTTGTTTTCATTTCTCTTGGGCAAATACATAAGCATGGGGTGCTGGGTTTTCTGACAGGTACATTTTTGGCTTTTGTGGATACTGGAAGCTCATTTCTAGATTCCAGTTCTGAAGTGGGAATAAAAACAACACCTACCTTAAAGGGCTGGTCCAGGTAAAAGTGTTTAGAACTGGTACGTTGAAATTGGCCAAATATAAAGCTTTGTAGGCTGGGGGAAGGACACAGACAAGACACATAAGACGCTGTGTGCAAAGTGGACTTTGCCTCTGTGCACTTGTCATAGAATAACATGGGCTACGGATGTAGCTCAATGGCAGGGTGCTCATCTGGCATGCAGGAGGCCCTGGAGTCCACCCCCATATTCTGCATGTCTTCCCTATGACATATTTACTTTTTGATGGGCTTTGCTGAGGTCGGGCAATAGATGTTGGACCACTGCATCTCCTCTGAGATATTCTCTCTCTCTCTCTCTCTCTCTCTCTCTCTCTCTCTCTCTCGGCCTCAGTCTCCCAGTAGGTGCCAGATGAGAATTAGTCTCCACCAATCTGGGCTGGAGGTCTAGCCTTGGCAGAGGAAGGGCCTGGAGTCCTGCCATTTCCGTCTCTGGGATACAAAAGCAGAGAGCTGCGCATCCTCACAGCCCAGACAAGCGTCCCTCCTCGGTCTCATCTGTCCCGCGTCCCAGAACAACAACGAGCTGGCCGGCTGGCCTGGGAGCCCCTTCCCCGGCCTCTACTCAGGGACTGCCCAGAAACCACCCCACCCCGCAGGCCAGGCTCGCGGTGATCCAGGGAACAATCCTCCCTCGGATGGGGTGGTAGCAGGAAGAGAGAAGAAAGAGGCTTGTCTCCAGCTGGCCACAGAGACAGGCCTCCTTGTGCCCATCAACCCTCCAAGCTGGCAGACCCTCCCTTCCCCCAGGCCTGCCACAGGGACTTGAGATCAGCCAGAAAAGTCAGGCAGCTCATCAGTGACTGTGAGCGAAGGAGACACGCGGTCCCTTGGCCCGGCTAGGTCCTATCCCTGGGAGCAGTGCAATGCCCAGACCCACCCCTCACTCTGTGCCCCATTCATCACTGAAGACTTTGACCTTGCGCTCTAGTTCTAGCTGGTAGGCAGAGGGCTGAAGTCAGCACACCCCAGAATCAGGAGCGTCCCTGCAGGAAACAGGATCCTGGGCCCCCAGCCTTCTTTCTCCAGACATCTGGCACATAGGGTGAGTGGCAGGTGCATGCTTTAGCGGGGGTGGGGGACAGGACACTGTGTCTTCTACATGTTAACAATACAGGCTCAACATTAGTGTCTGAGATTGTGATGTAGGAAAAGACAGACTTGGCTTTGTGAAAATATCCTCCAGAGAGATGACATTGTGGCCCTGGAGTCAGGTAGGAACAGCACACAAGGGACTTCACCTTTTCAAGCCTCAGTTTCCCCTCTGGAACATGAGATCTTAAAAAAATACTATATTGATTAATTAATTGATTGTGGTGTGTGTGTGTGTGTGTGTGTGTGTGTGTGTGTGTGTGTTCCATATGGTGCATGTGGAGGTGGAGCCAACTTGTAGGACTAAGTTATCTTCTTCCACCATGTGGGTCCCAAGGATTGAACTCATGTCAGCCTTGGCAGCAAGCGCCTTTATCCACTGAGCCATCTTGCCCACCCTAGGATATTAACTCATCTCTTGCAGAGTGAATTTGAGAATTGGAGAGGGATGGATATAAAGTACCAAGCCCTGAACTGGGCCTAGCACACACTCCACAAATGGTCTTTATTATTGAGGTTGGAGGGGGTGGGCAGCTCTTACAACCTCTGTCCCACTTTAGGGATAAATTAAAAACACCAACTCCATGAGATTTACTCACACAGTGTAGCCTGGCAGCGCTGACCTGCGACCATTTCTGTCTTACCTGTGACTTTTTGGCTTTCTTCAAGCAAGTCCTTCAAATTCTTTGTTAAGGCCACATAGTGATCAAAGGATAAGCTGCCTCAGATTGCTTCCTAGGGGACAAAGGTTAGAAACAGAGACTGAAAAACAAGCAGAAAATGTCAGGCGCCAGCTTTTGCTGGCTGCCTAAATATTTCTAGGGTGCAGCCATGACTCAGTCAGACCAGGATGAGAACAAGCACTCTCCCATGAGGTGGTGTGATCCTGAGTTTGTGCTTCCCCTCCCTGAACTTCAGTCCCTGCTTTAGAGGGAGGGCAATAATGGTCCTTAGCTAGAGCAGCTGAAAGGATGAAGGGGCTGTGTCTGCATTGCAGCTTCAAGTGTCTTACTTGATGGCAGGGTCCAGAATATATTGGTTCTGTTCCTGTTCCAAGTTTATGTTGACTATATGATCACACACACACACACACACACACACACACACACACACAGATAAATAATAACCCCAGCTGCTTCACCTTCTTGGATACACACTCCAAACATGCTTTGTTATAATAATTGGCCATAAAGGAGAGAAGAATTGTAACACTGGTGTAAAAATGTCAGCAACAAGGAAACATCGACTTGTCCACAGAGCTATGTGCACGCAGGCCCAGTTCATTAGCACATGCATGAGTAATCTACCCGAGGCTGAGCCTTCAGATCTTACAGTCTGGCTCCTGCTCCCAACAAGAAACTCCTACCTTTATATTGCATTTTAGTAACCAGACTTATTCTGATAAGCATCAGATGTGATTTATTCATGTCATGTGTTTCTAAAAATAATTGACTTAGGACTCCCTAATTTCCCTTTTCAGTTCCATTTCTACCCATTCAGTAACAGCCCCCCCCCAGTGTATTTTGGGGTTTTGAAACTGCAGGACCAAAATAGGCTATTTTTCTTTCCCTGAGCCATCCTTGGATTTTTCAAGCAGGTAGAGTGTTTAAGTGCAGGGCACCACAGTCGGGCCAGCCTGGGCTCTGCTTTTCTCCAACAGGGTGTCTTGGGTCACAGCCTTCTTTTGTCTGAGCCTCAGTTGCCTCCACTGTAAAATGGGTGTGATCACCTCCTCTAGGCTGTTGTGAGGGTTGCCCTAGGTAATGCACAGATGGTTCTCAGCAGGATGCCAACACAGGTACACACACATGCATGTACATGCGTGCATGCATGCACACACACACGCACACACGCTCACACACTCTGAATACCATCTGAAATGCAGCCCTTATACAGACAACTCTTTTCTTTCCTTGCAGCCTCATGATAGTTGCAGCCACTCCTATTCTTGGAGCCTCAGTTTCTCCATCTGTACAGGGATGTCTCGCTCATCCTAAGCTTTGCACAATGGAGAAACTGAGACCCGTATTGTATGCGCCTCTTTACCTTGGGCTGCACTGTCCAGCGTGACCTTGGTGTTGTCTGGGTCTGCCCTCCTGGGCACATGATGGCTCTGCTTTGATCAACAGTTTCTTTTTTGTCCTTTTCTTTAAATTTGTTGGACAGGAAGTCACTATGTAGCGCAGCCTAGCCTCGGATGAGCAATCTTCCCGCTTCAGCTCTTGAATGCTAGGCTAAAAGGTATGTGCCACCAGGCCTACCTCAAAGTTTCCTCTCCTCTCCCCTCCTCCCTCCCTTCCTTTCCTTCTTCTCTTCTTTTCCCTCTCCCTTCCCCTCCCTTCTTTCATTTTCTTCCTTCCTTCCTTTCTATTTTAAAAAATTTTAAATTTTAAACATTTAAAAACTATTTTATGTATTATTTTTATTTTATGTATATGAGTATATTGCCTGCATGTATGTAAGTGCACCAGTGTCGTGTAATGCCTTCAGGGGTCAGAGAGGGTATTGTATCCCCTTGAATTGGAGTTACCCATGGTTGTTAGCTGCCATGTGGTGCTGAGACCTGAACCCAGGTCCTCTACAAGAGCAATCAGTGCTCTTAACTGCTGAGCCATCTGTCCAGTCCCAATTTTAAATTAATTTTTATTTTATGTGTATGAATATTTTCCCTGCATGTATGAAAATGCACCTATATGTGCAATGCCTGCAGAGGCCAGAAGAGGGTGTCGGATTCTCTGAACTTGAGTTACAGACAGTTTTTAGCCACTGTGTGAGTGCTGGGAACCAAATCCAGGTTCTTTGCAAGAGTATCCAGTGCTTTTAACCACTGAGCCGTCTCTCCAGCCCCATTCTCTGTCTTTTTTTTTTTCAGGTAGGGATCTAGGCTGACCTCAAACTTACAGCAATTCTCCTGCCTCAGCCTCTAGAGTGCTAGGATTACAGGTGTGTGCCACCATGCCCGCTCCAAGTTTCTTTCTCTTATCCAGAGTCTCCTAATAGTTTTGAACACTCTCCTCCCTGACCCCATAACTATCTGATACTCAACTCCTTTTCTCTCGGTCCTTTGCTGATTTTGTCAGTGGCAAATGGGAACACTGTGGGCCCAGATTCTCCCTCCGGCTCCTGTCGTGACCTTGAGGAGCCAACCTGTTCTCTCAGAGCCTTAGCACCTCATCTGCTAACTGGACAGTGATCCTCACAGCTATCTTGGATGAACTCCCAAGCACCTCAGGAGAGTTTTCTTCCCTCATTCATGCTTATTCACCTCCCCTTGCTTTGTGTCACCATTCTAGGCTGGGAATAGGGCAACGGGAGAGCAGTCCCCCCTGGGGTGGTATTGTAGTGGGGAGTCTATGGGTCCAGAGCTTTGTAAGCCTGCAGCTTACAGACAAGCACAAGGGCTCAGGCCTGGGAGAGCTCACCCTGACTCAACCACTGAAAGTGAGCATCCAGGGAGCACTGTCACCCTGGGCAAACTGGGGGGGGCTGCTCTGCCTTACCCAGTCCAGTTGAGTGACTGGCTTGGGCTCGAGCTAGGTCGTGAGGCTGAGCATGTCTGATCTGCTGCTCCAGGTCCCCACCCTCAGATTTACCACAGGGAATTTAGACACAGGGGAGTCCTTAACGCCTCTGCCTTAGTGCCAATGTAGAAGAGAGGTCAGCTCTCCTGAAATGACACAGAGACAGTCAGAAGGCCCAGAGATGGGGAGGGACTTGGCAAAGCTCCTGCAGCCAATCAGAAGTGATGCCAGGACTGATTCTGCCCTTTCCTCTGTTACACTTAATTTTTTGTAGTAGTGGTAGGGATCGCATCTTGGGCCTCAGGCATGGGAGGCAAGTGCTCTACCATTGATTTACCTCCCCACCCTCTGACACTATTTTTCCACTGATTTTTCAAGTGCTAGGGGACAGAAACAACTGTGTGCTGTGTGCTATGTACTACGCACTGTGTACTATGTACTGTGCACGACATCCTGTGTAGCATGTACTGTGAATTATGCACTGTGCACTGTGTACTATGTATTGTGTACTGTGGACCGTTCAGTGTGTACTGTGTACTAGGAAGTGTGCACTGTGAACTGTGTATTGTGTACTGTGTACTCTACACTGTACACTGTGTACTGTGTATTGTGTATTATGCACTGTGTCATGTGTACTGTGTATTTTAGACTGTGTACTGTGCAATGTGTACTGAGTGATGTGTAATGTATGTTGTGCACTATGCACTGTGCTGTGTATCGTGTACTCTGCACTGTGTACTGGGTACTAAATACTGAGGACCTACCAGGTACCCTACGGGGACCCATTGCTGAGCTTGTCATTTAATTCTCAAGACATCTGGTCAGATTGGGGTCACTCCTGCTTTCCTGGTGAAGTGTTTCTGTCTCTGGAGACAGAAGTGCGGAGAAGGGGGAAGAGAGGGTCTGCTCCCCACACTGCTAGCACTCAATCTCAGGTTCCAAGCTGGAGGGAGAAGGATCCAGAACGCCACCTCTCCATTTGTTGACTCAGTCTCTAATTTGGCTTCTGAAACCCCAGCAGAGCCCAGCTTTTGTGGCCTGGAGCCATTCCCTGACCCTTTGCAAAACTAGGCCATATTGAGAATGTCTCTCTGTTCAGGGTCCAGACTGGAGTTGCCAGGAGCTGAGGTCTATGGGAGGCCAGCTGGGCGTAAAGAGGAGGGAAGATTGAACCTGGTCCTTCCGGGCACACACTGTACCCTTGTTCTGCCTCAGCAGGGGTCGGCAGAATAGTTCAAGGTCAAAAGCTGTGAGGCCTTCTAAACTGAAGGTTCAGCAGGGCCGGTTCTGGGCCAAAGGACCAAGTTCTGAGGGCAGACCCTGCATCGGACAGGCTCACAGCTGGCCTGACTAGCTGCCAGCCTGGCACATGGTAGGTGTGCAATAAGCATGTGCTGAATTGACTTGGAGTTAACTTCCAACACTACCACTTACTGGCCATGAGACCTCAGGGAAGGTCACCTTTCTGAGCCCGTGTCCTTGTCTGTGAAATGGAACTGATCACGCCCCACCTCAGACTAGCTGGAGGCGTAGGTGAAGGGACGCGTTTGAAGCATGCAAGACTGGGACAGGTGCACAGTAGGTGCTCCTCAGGATCTGTAGGCCACTTCCTTTGCTGGACCTGTTTTGTTACTGTTGTCAACCCTCCTGTTGATCCTCTGAGGTATGTGTTAGTAATCTGGAACTCATGAAGCAGCTTTCTGAGGGTTAATGGCTAGCAGGTGACAAAGCTGAACTCTACAATTTGAAGCCAGCACACATACTCTTAACCACTAGACTATGTAGCATGCCAGTGGCTGGGGACCCCTGACAACCCTGGGGGTGGGGTGCCCAGAAAGCTGCCTTGCTTATTAGCAGGGTGACCTTAGGCAAGTGGCTTTGTTTCTGTATACCTTCATGTTTTTACTTGTAACATGGGAAAACAGGAGCTGGAGTGATGGCTCAGAGATTGAAAGCACTAGGGTTCAGCTCCCAGCACCCATGTAGGGTGGCTTACAACCACCTGTAACTCCAGTTCCAGGGGAATCCCACACCCTCTTCTGGTCTCCACGGACACTTTGCACTCAAGTGGGCAGATACACACACATAGGCGCATAAGCAAAAATAAAATATATCTTTTTTAAAAAAGGAAAACTGGCCAGATGTGATGGCACACACCTTTAATCCCAGCACTTGGGAGGCAGAGGCAGGTAGATCTCTGTGATTTCAAAGCCAACCTGGTCTACATAGTGAATTCTAGGTCATCTGGGGCTACAGGGAGAACCTGTTTCAAAAAACCCAAAAAAACAGCTTTTACATCCCCAAGTATCCGGCTCTTGTCTAATATGGAATGGCAGTGTTTGGTGTTTTCAAAGCCATCAGGAGCTCATCGTGGTGGTGATCATGACAGAGATCATGATGATAAGCAAGGGCCTCAACCCACTCTTCCTTTCTGCAGGTCAGCGTGATGCGTGTGGTAGTGATTGGAGCAGGAGTCATCGGACTGTCCACTGCCCTCTGTATTCATGAGCATTACCACGATGTGCGGCCACTGCAAATAAAGGTCTACGCCGACCGCTTCACCCCATTCACCACCACTGATGTGGCTGCTGGTCTCTGGCAGCCCTATCTTTCAGACCCCAGCAACCCACAGGAGGCGTGAGTGAGGATCCCACATGGTAGTCTGGGGGCCCGTGGGGCTGCATCCTTAGAGGGAACCGTCCCACCGCAATTCTTGTCATCAAACAAATCCCTTGTGAAAAGTCTGACTTGGCATACCTATGTCCCAGCTCTTGGGAGGTAGAAGGAAGTGGTTTGTAAATCTGAATCTGAGGCTATCCAGGAATACATAACAAGACTCAGAATAAAAAATAAACAACCGGGTGTGGTGGTGCACCTGCCTATAATCCCAGCACTCAGAAAACAGAAGCAGGAGGATTAATGCAAGGTGGAAGCCAGCCTGGTCTACATAGCAACTGTTAGGCTAACCAAGGCTACATAGGGAGAGTCTGTCTAAGAAAAAGAATTAACAGATACATAGATAGATGACAGATAAATAGATGATAGAAAGATGATAGATAGGTGATAGATATAGATATATAGATATATAGATGATAGATAGATGATAGATAGATCAATAGATGATAGATATAGATAGATAGATAGATGATAGATAGATGATAGATGATAGATAGCTAGATAGATGATAGATAGATAGATGATAGATAGATATAGATAGATAGATGATAGATATAGATAGATAGATGTTAGATAGATAGATAGATAGATAGATAGATAGATAGATAGATAGATAGTTAGATAGATAGATAGATAGATAGATAGATAGATAGATAGATAAGAAAGGAATACTAAAGAAAAAGAGTTGGGCAGTGGCATATACCTGTGATCTCAGGGCCATCCTTGGCAACATAGCAAGACCTCTTAAAAAAGAGAAAAGAGAGCTGGAGCTATGACTCAGCATTAAGAGCACTGGCTGCTCTTGTAGACTCCAAGCTTCTGTTCCCAGCACACATATGGTAGTTAATACCTGTCTGTAACTCCAGTTCTAGAAGATCCAACACCCTCTTCTGGCCTCCATGGGCATTGCACACACATGGTGCACTCACATACATGCAGGCAAAACACTCATACACATACAATAAATAAATACATTTCTTAATTAAAAAAATATTTCCACGAGAATAAAGACAGCTGGGGAGATGGCTCAGTAGGCAAAGCACTTTCCACGTAAGGCTGATCACCTGAGTTCAGATCTGCAGAACCCACATCAAAGTTGGATACAGTAGTGCACATCTGTAATCTCCGTGAACCCTTACGGGGGAGGTTCCAGGCTGACTCAAGAGCTTTGCCTGAAGCTCGGAGGCCAGCTAGCCTGGCACAGTCAACAGTGAACAACGAGGATGGAAGGTGAGGACCAACACCCAAAGCTTTTCTCTGACCTCCACAGGAGGACCACACCAGCTGCGTGTGCACACACAAAGAAACAGAAGAAAAAGAAAAAAGATATTCAAAACTTACTCATGACTCCTTAAGCCCCCCTTCTATTCCCAATTCTGTGTGCTAGGGCTTTTGTTGCTGTTCTCCCTGAAGCTGGGTGGCTTTCAATACCACAGCACTGACAGCCTAGAAAGCTTGTGAGCATGTGGATTGATAAAGTTGACTGAAGAGGTTGCAAAGGTCAGATGTTAGTCAGTTTAGCAGCTGACAGCTGTGTCAACAAATGAACCCCCAGTGTGTAATGCCACATGCAGGAGCTTGATGCTCACTCACATGGTAATAAACTCTGAAGCAGTTCCCTGCCAGTTGGTGGAGATATAGACGCCCCATCTCCAGTGAGGCTGGAGAGCTGGCTCCGTGGTTAAGAGCACGGGCTGCTCTTACAGAGGACCCCAGTTTAATTCCCAGCATCTACAGGGCAGCTAACAACCGTCCATAGCTCCAGTTCAAGGGGATCCAATGTCCTCTTCTAACCTCTGCAGTCATTGCATGACACGGGTGCACTTACACACATGTCAGTAATACTCATATACATAAAAATAATAATAAAATATTCAAACAGGAGCTCCTTCATCTCATGTCTCCCATCCTTGGACGTGGCTTCCAAGGTCACCTCCAATGTTGGATTCTTGACGACCAGTGACTGCAGAAGCATGTAGGATATGTGCAGAGACTTCAGTGAGAGTGCACTTGCAGGGACTGGACTAACCACCCAATTGCAAGGGAATCTGGGAAATATAGCTGTGTGCCAGAGGCAGAAGAGGAAAAACTTTTGGGGACAGCAAGCCAGTGTCTGGCACCTGGTGGGAGTGCTCAGATCCAGACTGAACTTTGTGGTGCCTACACTGTGTGAGCCTAGGCCCAAGGTGTGCTCCCCAGGGATAAAATTGGGATGCTTTTCCTCCTGGTTTTCCATCCAGTTCATGGAGAAACACTGGGAAGCAGAGCAGGGGAGAACTGTTTGGGGGCACTGCAGGTGTGAGCAAGGTGGCTGTCTGGGTTTTGTACACATTCGTGTCAGCCTTACCACAGCCCTAGGCAAACTGACCTTCTGAGCAGTCCTGCCTAGGGCATTGGGTGATCGAGACTCTGGGTGCCTTTTCCAGGGAATGGAACCAGCAGACCTTTGACTATCTCCTCAGCCACATCCATTCTCCTAATTCTGAAAAGATGGGCTTGGCCCTAATCTCAGGCTACAATCTCTTCCATCATGTTGTTCCGGTAAGTCAAGGGTCCTTAACCATGCAGGGCACAGACAAGTGCTGGGGCCCTGGGCCTTAGGAATGCTCTGATTTTCATAGGTCACAGACTCCTAGGTCTGAATTAGTTCATATTTATTTATTTATTTATTTATTTATTTATTTATTTATTTATTTATTTATTTATTATTTATCATTCATTCATGTATTTTTGATGGAGCTAGGGGTCAAATCAAGGGTTTTGCACATGCTAGGCAAGAGCTTTGCCTCTGAGCTACATCCTCAGACTGGGGTTCACTGTGACCCTCTATCTCTCCTCTACTCCTGACTTTTACCCCACCACTTGGTCTTACTTGAAGCTGAGTGGCTAAGAGCATAGACTTGAAGTAAATGAGATGGGTTCAAATCTCAGTTCCACCACTTAGCTGTATGGACCTCTCTAAGCTTCAGTTGGCTTGTCGGGAACATACAGATAAGAATCACATCCACTCAATGGCTGGTTGTGAAAATTAAATGGATCCAGACAGACAAATGCTTGGGACAGTGTTGGCCACAAAACAAACATTCTATAAGTCCCAGATATTATCCTGATGACCCAGTCCACCCATCCTTGTGAGTCCTTCTCTCCTTTCTCCTCAGGACCCTTTCTGGAAAGACACAGTTTTGGGATTCCGGAAGCTGACCCCCAGAGAGCTGGACATGTTCCCCGGTTATGGGTAAGGTCATTATCAAGGGCAAAGACAGGAAGGCACAACAATTCAGATAGAACTGTCTAGAAAGCAGCAATGCATGGAGACATCAATTTGCCATCCCATCTCAGGCCTAGAGCCCCTGGAACCCTGGCTTCCTGGTGTCCAGCTCCTCCCCAAGGCCCTACTTGTACTGGGCTTTGAACTGGGGACGAGGGAATGCGGAGCCACAGGTGTCAAGCTTAGGAAGCTCTGTGGGTCAATCATCTTTGTACCTCTGCAATGAAATATCAGACACAGGCTACTTAGGAAGTAAAGAAAGTCTTATTTTAGCTCATAATTCTTGAGGCTCAAGTCCAAGGTCAAGCAGCCCCATGAGGCTGAACCTCTGGCAAGGATGCTATGTCATAGCAACTCATATCACAAGTCGTGAAGCAGAGAAAGGGGGTGGTAGGGTCCCAAAGTGCTTTGTTTGAGAGAAGCCCCCAATGATTGAGTCTTCTACTAGAACTTACCTTCTAAAGGTTCCACCACCTTGGAGACCAGACTATGCCTGTGGGCCTTTGGGGGACATTGAGCATTCAACCACAGCACTCTACAATTTGTTTCACAGTGAAGAGGCTGAGCTTCAGAGAGGCTGGGTAGCTCTTCAAGATCACACAGCCATGTGACCAACTAGGATTCCAACTCAGCCTGTGTGATTCTACACTCTTCTGTCCTTGGTAGCCTGGTAGCCTCTGGTTCTCCCCTCATTCTCCCCTCATCCAATCTCTATTTGCATATCCCAGTGCCAAGGATATCATCATCTGATAGAAAATTCCCCATCATTGAGGTGAACCCCCACCTTCACCCCTTGAATGTCAGCTCTAGTTGTTGGGCACTCACAAAATAATACTAATCCAACCTTCAAATACAGCTCTGATTCTGACATTTATTTGCCTGCTCTAGCTATGGCTGGTTCAACACAAGCCTGACTCTAGAGGGAAAGAGCTATCTGAAGTGGCTGACTGAAAGGTAAGCTGTTAAGCTCCAGCTTGAGAAGGTCAATTCTCAGGGAGCAAGCTGTAGGAGAGTAGTCCCAGTGACCAACCCCCAGGGTTGAGGAAACCCTGAGGCTATTGTGGGAGCTGTCTTTGGTCCCCATCAGTACCCAGCACCGTGGGCTGAGGCACTGGTATTGTACCTGACTATGCATCAAAACCACCTGGACAGATTTTTGCATGCTATACTCCTTAGAAATTTCACTCAAATCCTTCATGTCTGTACAGTAGTTTAAAGTGGATTCTTTTATATTTTTCATATGTTTATGTCATTTGCATAACTTATCTTTTTTTCTTTTTGAGACAGAGTCTCCTTGTAGCCCCAGCTGCCATAATTTATCTTTTTAAAAAACTTCTCTCCCTTTTATTTTTCTTCTTTAATTGCTTTTGCCAGCGCCCCTAGAAAATGTTTACTTTTATGGGTACTAATGGATACCCTGTCTTATTGCTGATGTTAATAGGGATCTTGTAGTGTTTCATGTTAGCAAGCATTAGCTTGAGGGATACGCTGAGGGATCACATACATTCATATCAAAGAACACTTCATACACTTCTTATATTTTATTATTATACTAATATTTTGGAAAAACCTGAAATGAATGGAAAATTTTAGCCAATGATTTGGGAAGACTTTAAAATCTAGTTTTCAGGATCCCACTCCACACCTATTGAATAAGAACCCCTGGGTGGGCTCTAGAATTTTGTATGTCAAGAGCTTCTGTAGGTAACTGTAGTTCCTAGCCAGGTTTGGGAACCATGTTGTATGAGATTTTTTTTTCCTGGGAAAACACAACACTCACACACACACACACTCACACACACACACACACACACACACACACACACACACACACACACACAGGTTTACTGATAC